TGCTGTTCTGGAGAATTTTATGTCGCTGTTGGGGCATCTTCATTTGTTATACGACGCATATTTTCCACCCGGTTCTGAAAATCTCGCCACTCTTCTGTGGCGTTACTATGCGGAAAAAATTGCCATACTTGTGCGTGGTGGTGCACATGTTCACCAGATTATCGTGAGTTAGTCGAGTCATTCATCGTGTTTCTTAAAAATTCGTAACTAGATAATTATTGATGATATTACAAGTCCTTTAATTACTAATTTTAGTTACTATAAGTTACTTATCTCTAATTGCACAACATCTTAGAACATTTCTATCAGTTATAGTTCGCAGTTTATTCGTTCCGCTATGCAGATAATAACTTTTCCGGATGACCCGGTTAATGCTTCATCACAGGTGTTGAGCTTGCTAGCGATCCTACGATTGGGGAGTAATCCGTTCTCTCCACCCTCCTTAATTTTTGATTTTTTACTTCGACGGTTGTCCTGACAGGAGCATTTGGCGTGATTTCAGCTTTTTTTGGTTGCCTGGATATGTGTTGAGCATCACCATCCCTTCTCAGACATTGCCACTTTCCAGCTTTGTATTAGTGCATAATATGCACACATTCGCATTTATGTTTACATCTACATCTTTGATATTATGACATTTCGGATATTTATCGTTTTTCTTTTTCGTGGCTACGAAATTCATTTTCTGTGAACTCATCATCAGGACTGTTTTCATTCCATGTATAAATCTTCAGGAGAGCCGACTTATCAACTTTCCATGGCTTTTGTTTTGGCCAAGCCTATCCGACCTTGCATCGATGGATAAAGTGATGATCGAAGGTGCACCAGAAAGTGCTCCACTGGTAACTCAGATAGTCGTGCGCATCCCCTGGCTTTCACTAATTCAGTTTCAGGTTCCGTTTTCAAAGATTTCCTAGGAATAGTTTAATTTTCTTCCTTTTTTTTACCTTTTCTAGTCACATTTTTACTTACCCTTAAATTAAGACTGTTTGCAAAGCTTTCTTCAGAATTCCTGCACTGTAGTGCTTTGTTTTCACAAAAACATTTCCAAAAGCTAGCTGCTTTCATTCCAAGTATTCCGCTTTGCTGAACTGGAGCCTCGGCTGCTCAGGCATGGATTTTTCCGAGGACTCCATTTTCACTTCACGGTTAACACTACTTACATTGGCCGGGTTAATTATCAAAATAAGTAAAATATCTTCCCATCCAGTTATAATTCCTGATGTAGCAGCTGATGTCACGAAGTCAAAATTCCCCTCGTATTCATTTATTACGAAAGGTGAAGACTGCAGGAAGAAATCGAATTAGTGATAGCGTGTGGCAAGGCTGTTGATAGCTTACTCTCCCAAGGACTGCTTAGAAGAAAACTGACTGTG